AAAGTTGAAAAAGTTTTTTGTTTTGTTATATATTTGAAAAGGAAAAAAAATATATCATTTTATAACAGTAATAAATTTACTTTTATTACAAAAATGAAATGTCATTTAGTTGAACTTCTCAAAGTGAATTTAAAGTAAATACTGAATCGAAGCGTTATACGTGTCCATAAATTATCCGTTTCATTGAAGTGCTCTTTGGTAAGCCACATTATTTTCTTTGTCACATGAAATTAACTGAGAAGAGAACAATGAGTAGCTAAGTATCAGAGATGATGCTGTATGTAAAAAAAGATTTTTCCGCTTTTCAGTTGAAATTTTTCTTTGCTATAAACCTCACGGAGGCCGAGACCATTTCCAATGAATGCAAAATCGTCGAAATCGGTTTGTGCGTTCTGGAGTTATATCGTCAGGAAGAAAAACCTGACTTATTTTTATATAATAGATAAAAATTTTAAATGAATTCAAAACCAGTATAGTTTGAAAACAAAATTCTGAAAATTTTTGAATTTGTACGAAACTTATAACTTAGCTTTAAAAATTAAAATTCTTTGTAAGGAACCCAAAAAATTTTTAACAAATTTATCAATAATTCTTAAAATTAATAAAATTGAGGTGCATATATCCAATAATTATTTTAGACTGCCAAATATATATTTTTTTACTTTTTTCTTTGTATCACCTAAACCGCTGGACCTGCCAACATCCCAAAAATTTATTCAATTCTTCATCTTGTCAATACAAGTGCAATGTTTTTTGAATCATTCAAATTGGTTGATCCGTGCTACCGAAATCGTAGAAAAATTGTATCTAAACATACACACACACATATACATCAATTTTTGTACAGTATGTCAAAATGTTTAGAAATCTTTGAAATGTAAAGATATGCAAGAATTTTGATTTTCGACTTTTTTCCGATTACTATAACTTATCCTACGGGAAGTTAATTAAAATTTATTTGCGGAAAAGTTTTCCTACTATTAAATTTAAATGCGGTTGTATTTGTTTAGCTCCAAACTACTAATTAAGATACGACATAAATGTATTGCTCGAAAGCCCAAAGCCAAATATTCTATTAAAGCTTATATGAAGTGGCTATAAACCTATTTAACGATGATTTTCATTAAAATCTATGCTCATTTCATAATATTTTACCTGCTTCTGTTTAAAAATGTAACTGGTTACTCGTCTTTTAGTTCAGTCTCTGTAAATAAATGTTTAAAGTTATAGTTAAAAGATTTTATTTTCAATGATCAGATGTATTCCTGAGAACTAATATGCTTGTGTGTGTTATAACTACGTTTTGTATTAAATACTAACTAAATCTATAACATTTATAATATGATACTACAGTATCTACGCTTTTACTAATAAATATCTAAGTTAATAAAAATCAATACTATTTTTCAACCATACTTACTATATCTGTAAATAATAAATTAATTTAATTTGCGTAAAAAATATTTTATTTATTTCTTGTTCTAATAATGTATTTCATTTAAGTTTGAATATTAACTGCAACCAGTAGTTCAGTACCCACTACAAAACAAAGAACGTACATATATTTGGGATAGATTCTGATTAGAATCGCTTAAGCGCCCGGCATGATTTCAAGATTTAATTTTTTTTTATGATTGAAATGCTTATTGTTGGTCCACAATAATTCAGTATATTATTTCAGACCACTAAGTAGTATGTCGTAATACAAAGTTTCATCTAAATGGCAAAAAAAATTGACAAATAATTAAGGAGAAACCTTTAGGCAAATCTTTTCCGAAATCTAATAAGCAAGAATCACGAAAAGTTAAAAATGGGGTTACACGTATACATACACACACGAACCACACATACAAACATACTTTTTCCAAATTTGGTCTCATTCGATTCAGAATGACGTGAATCGTCTAAAAAACGTTACATTAGAGATCAGATTTTCTATCAAAGACATTTATATATTTATATTAAATGTAAACTATTCCTTCGGTGAAATCTCACACTAAAGAACCAATTCTCCGCTTCTCCGTTGTTATGGCAACGCTATGTCACCGCTTCTTTCTTGGTAGTAAAAACTGCCAAAAAGCTATGTATTTGCTCTGCGGGTCTAATTTACTGGACATTTTGCCCCTTTGATGGAAATCTTCACAAATTCGAGGTTTTGTCGTCTTACTCCAAGATATGGTATCCATTATTACTATTATTATTATTATTAGACTATGATTCTAACATGTGTACATCTACATATATGAAACATACAAATGCTAATGTCTTTCTTATTGGCATGTTTCTTGCGAATTAAGATCGACAGACAAGTCCTTTTGTTTAACGGAGTTGCAATGCAATAACCAGCAATAACTATATTGACATGTTCATATATCTAATGAGACACACACGGCAGATATATAATGAGCAAAAAGATGACTCACAGCAAATCATTTCTTATTGTAGTAAACGCAAATAACTTTTACTTTTATGCATTTGAAGGTTACAACTTGGCTTGGCTATTATCGGTCAACACCGATGGCAATCGGTATTAGTTCATATTTAATAATAGTTATTGGGTAATTTAATAGAAAATAATTAATTTAATTTTAGGCGTGAAAAGTCATTTACTTTTTTCCCCAGTTTACAGAACCTACATGAACTTTAAAGCTTGGAAATATACATTCTACGCGATTTTATAATATAATAATTGGAATTCGGTGCCAAAATGCTGTAATTTATTCAGAGATATATTTTAAGAAATTTAATTTACAAAATGTTAATCACACGGATTTCTTCAAATATTATTTTTTATGTAAAAATCACAAAAATCAAATTCTATACATCCATTTCATATTTCATAAATACATATTTAAATCTTTTCATACTTAAGGTTCTTTTCGACAATAAATTCTTGAAATGTTAGAATTAGAATAAGTCAAATATAAAATATAATGATTAATAAATTTTTTTGCTGAAGTCCAATAAACATTAATTCTGTACCTGTTCTCCACATGTATTATAATTAAGTAGTTCATGCTATGAAAAAAATCAAAAAAATATTTTTATGTAATAAATAATTTCATTTTATATTATATTATATACATTAATTATATAATTATAAATAGGGAGTACAAACTTTGACAATTAATATTTAAATGTTAAGTAAAAATATTTTTAATAAAATTATGATGATATAATTATGAAGCTCCTATATCCCTATAATCAATACAAACTATGATCATTTGAAATCTATAAAATTTTATACAGGATTAGTAAGGTATGAATATTAAAGAAATTTTGTAACACTTTTCTACTGATTATGCGTTTTCAATATTCTTTGTAGTTTATACAATAATTTAACTTATATTATTTTCATGCAATTCCATATACCATACATTATATTTGCGCAGGTATTTAAAGTTAAAATATTGATTAAGCCTTTCCACTCGGATGCCGCCGCTCCGGCGACAGAATACATATTTAATTTTTGCGAGTGAAAAGGGTTGAAATTCTCAAAGCTTCAAATAGTTATCAGCAGTTTGACACAAAAATTTGCAAAAGTATGAATATGTTTCCTCAAAAACGTCTGCACTGATTTTAGAAATTTAAGTGCTTCTAGCGTCAACTATATTGGTGCGATGATCGGCCAAGCCGTTTCTTCACAAACATCATGAGTGTCATATTTTTTTGATCTTGATAAAACATCCTGAAATATTATAAACCAATAAAAATTGGTTGTAAAAAATTTAAGGTGTAAGTATGAAAAAATTAAATTACAGCATTTTAAAGTTAATTTTTTATTGATTAAGACAATTATACATATTTCGAAAATTTTTGGCAAATATGCTTTAAGGCAAAATGCCACTTGCATCTAGTTTTGAATGGCATTATTATTAATAATTATTTATGAATTTCTGAATTGGTTGTATTTTATGGGTCTGCTGATCTGTCGATGCAATTCCAATAATAATTCTAATATCCTCGTCAGAACAATATTTTGTATATGTATGTACATATATATAACCATTTCTCATATGTTATACTTAAATTTCGCTCCATACGTTTTGCTTTCATTGTTCTCTTTATTATTCAAGGCAATAATAAACCAATAAACCTTTATGGCCACTAAATTATTTTAATTGTTACGGTGGTGTTCTAAAATTTGTAACTCGTTATTGCTTTACTTTTATTATCCCATTTATTTCGATAAGTGCGTTCTTTAAAATCTTTCGATTTATTATTGTTTTATTAGATGATCGAACAACGAACGAATCGGATTTTTCTGTCTCTTGTAGTCGAATGTTTGAATGATACTTGAAAATGGGTTTTAAAGTATAGCTAGGACAATATAATTTTTTTGATGATCAGATGATTGGTGCAAAATAAAAATAAATGTTCTCTATGAATTTAATCTAATTTGCTAATTTTAAGGAAAAAATTTATCAAGCTGCAGTTGTTACAGAAGCACAAATTCAATGTATTCAAATACGTTTTTATATATCCTGTAAATTAGTTTCACATTTATAATTGAACCTTCTTGAAAACAATTTTTGCCACTATTAATCATACGTTACATATTAACTTGAAAAACATAGCAATTGATTGATTCATTTTTATTACAATTTAGTACAAATACTAAGTATACTAAAAGAATTTAAATTTATTAGCATTGAAAAAATGTTCTTAAACGAAATCTGTATTTGTCGTACATTTCGAAAAGGAAAATTTCAGTGTCATCTTTGTCTTTAACTTAATTTAAAAATAAAAATATAGTTGTCTGTAACTTAATTTAAAAATAAATATATAATTTATGAGACAACTCTTGTTGAAGTATGGTATATTTTTTTCTATAATGATTGTGAATGTTAAATATAGTGCATCTTATATATTAAGAAAACAATTATATTTTTGCTAGGATAATTCAATGTTCAAACCATAACCAAACATATTACATTTTATAAACTTGTGCATATTAAATGAAAATTATGTGAATAGTATGCAATAACATTATATTTTATCATTGTTTGTGCATCATTAATTGTGACCAAATGTTTTCAATAATTTTTGAGTAGCTTCAATAGCTTCCTTCACAGAAGGCGATAATTCGTAAGAAATTTCTGTGACTTCCTTTGCATATTCATTTAATCGGTTTAATAATTCTATGTCGGATTTTAAATTGGCTTCTCCTTCTGAAATTCTCTTCCAAAAGTCACGACCTAATTCTACCCCATCGATGGCAACTGGTGGTACAGTGTCCGTGGCCTTAGAGATCATCTCGATGTTGGCTTTGAGAGCAGTTCTAGCTAAAATAAAAAAAAAAAATTGATTTAAAGGACTGTGTATGAAATTATCAATATTAAAGGCATTCTAATATTTTGTTTCTGGGCAGGTTGCTATGAAAAAAATAGTTCAAAATTTCCAAAAAGGTCAAATTTTTACAAAAATTCTCAAAAATCTATTTTTTTTCAAAGTTCTAAAAAAAACTGAATCTTTTTTAAAATTTACATTTTTGACACGGAAAGTAATATTAGAAAGTAAATAAATTTGCCTTAAAGCACGATGCCATGCACCACTAGTTTCAAACATAATTTTAAATTGATAAATGTGAAGACTGGAGTTACTACTTGATATCAGGCTGTCCGTGGCGAGTATAGAACCTATGGTCGCAAGTTCATAGTTCTTACCACAGGACTACAAAAAAACCTTATTTAAAAGATAAAATAATATACATGTAATAAAAAATCCTAACTAATTTCAGGAAGTGTAGAATTAACAACTCGAATGGAAATCGTTTTGAATTTTATGTAAATGGAAATCGTTTTCAGTTTTCTATCAGGCAATTTGCAAAAACACTATGAAAGTGAGAGAAATGTGTGTTAAATCTATAGATTGATTACCATATTAGATCTATCTTGTTATGAAATTATATGCTATTTTTTTTGTAAAATCATGTTTTATTAATCATAAATTAACTGATTGATTGATGTGAAATCAATTTCTTTGAACGCTGGTACTTCCGCGCTTTTCACAATTTTCAAATGAATCATATCAGTTTTTGTTCGAAATAGATCGATATAAATGGTATATATTAAAATTAATAAATGCAGTAAAGATATAATAAAATAAAATAATTAGATCAAAACTTGGGAAACTATATACAAAACTGGTTAGTATTGGCATTTTGCCGTGAGGCAAGTTACATGAACTTCCTGGTATGTGTAAAAATTCGACTTAATTAAGTCGAATCAATCAATTTAAATCCTTAAAAAAATAAATTAATTTATGAGTGATTAAAAGTATTCCGAGTGGATTTATCACACATAATTGAAATTGAACGAACATGTTAACTCGGAGTATTTTCTAAACGCAAATTTTCAAAAATCAACCATTTTTATAATTGAACCAGTTTCCCTGGGTTTTTAATGATTTAGTATGTTCAATAAGACCAAGTACTCTATCGTTATACCAAGTAAATCGTCTAATTTTAATTTTAACAGACGTCAAAAACTACTAATTTTTTCAAACTTAGATGAATTTTTAGAATTAAACTACTTGTCTTAAGGCCGTAATTATTCAGTAAGATCTATAAGACCATGATATTCATGCAATTCATATCATGCAAAATAATGAATTTTTATATTACAAAATTCCCACAATTAATATTATGATCACCTATTTTACATAGCAATCACCAGATATAATTACCCATTAATTTCGCAACCAATTAGTATTCTTTATTTCATTATTAATTGTTGCTCATTAAATTACAAAATTGGTCATCAGCTATTAATCTCATTATTAATTAGATACTTTCAAAAATTTTATATTACCTGCATCGGTAATTGAAGTGATTTCTTGGTCATGGGAATTTTCAGATCGTTTCTTATGTAGAGGAACGCCTTGGATAACGGTTAAAACGAAGAATAGTGAAAATATTACAAAAATGCACTTCATTTTAAAAAAATATGAGGAATTTGTTGTAATAAATGATTAATGTTTACTGTTTTGACTTCTTTGGTAAAATAGCGTGGCCGTAACTAAATGATTTAGAATTAAATTGCATTGTTTTTCTATATTTTGCATAATGCATTTTTGGCCTTGGATCAAAATTGTTTTTTAAACGGAATATTTTTGTATTAAGCATAATAATGTTTACAATAGTGATAAGATATGGCAATAATTTAAATATTATTTTCAAACTCGGATATGTATAAATTAAGTTATATACTAAGAATTTTGTTTATTATTAAACTGCATTTCATAGCATTATTATGTATACTTTTTAACTGCAAAAGTATTAATAATTTTTCACAATAAAAATTACTGGAATTGGTGTGTTGAAAAAACAGCTTATACAAGGAACTTGTAGAACATTTACAACCAATTTTGTGAAAAATTGTCTTCAAGATTGGATTTGATCTGGAAGAACTCTATGACGTACTTATTTCTGGATTTGCAAAAATTACCTTGGGAGGCTTATATATAGCAATATTATACTTCTCCACTCTTAATATTGTAATTGTCTTGACCTTTTTTGTTCTATTGTATTTTCTTCTCAATAAAGTATGACTATGATATGTTTTATTTAAATAAATTAATTGCAGCCAGCTCAATGTTCTGTATGGAATAATATTTCAAACAAACTTTATTCACTGTCGTTGGTCTTTATTAGTTTCATTTTTTCTGTTTTTTCTACCAATCAGAAACACATTGTTTATTTCTTTGAGATAAGTTACTGCCAATTACTCTATTGGAAACTATGTATTATCATTTTCATGAATTTAGTGTATAAGAAAGCTTATGTGACACTATTTTAGAACTTTTCTATTTGTATTCCAATTAGTCTAACATAGATTTTTTTTGTGAAAAATTAAAAAAATTCTGAATTTGATAGCATTTATAGTTTTGAGTAAAAGTTTAAAGTAATTAAAAAATTCTTTTATCTATAAGTGATACATTAATTCAATTTTTCAAGGCTCAGAAATATAAAAAAAATTCATTTTCGACATTTCATCAGAATATTAGAATTTGTTAAAAAATAACAGAGATAATTTAAACTTGTTAAGCTAAAAACAAATAAAATTAGTTATGTAATTGTTAAATAAGAGCTATAGAAATTTAGATTTAGAGTTATAAAAACAAATATGAATTACTGTTAGTTACTCAATTTGAAAGTATGTATTCTCAAATTTCATCATGTGATAGTAATACACTAATTATGATACTATTTTAGAACCATTTTTATCTTAAGTACTTTGAAATAAAATCTTTGCATTTAATAGAAAGATGAAAAATAAATAATATCTATACTAATGTGATATTCAAAATAATTAACAAATAATAAAAATATTTTTCTACAAATAAAAAAATCAACAATTGGGTCTACGAAATTGTTCAATCGTTATCTTCTATATAAAATACGAGTATATAAAAATATACGAGTATAATAAAATAATAAATACGATGTATATAAAAATAAGTAGGGTTTTCCTCCCTGACGAAATAACTCCAGAACGTACGAACGTTGGAAAGGTCTCGGGCTCCGCAAGGTTTATAGCTAAGAAAATTAGTGGTGCATGGCATCGTGCCCTAATGCAAATTGCTGGAACTTCACGCACCGTAATTACAAATAAGAGTAATAAAAATAATCAATAACTGTTTTAAATAATTATCTTCTATATATATGAAAATAAGTCTTTTCTTCCTTTTCTTCCTGACGAAATAACTCCAGAACGCACGAACCGATTTCGACAATTTTGCATTTGTTGCAAAGGTCTTGGGCTCCGCAAGGTTTATAGCTAAGAAAATTAGTTGTGCATGATCTCGTGCCTTAATGCAAGGTGCTGGAATTTCACGCACTGTAATTAAAAATTCGAATAATGACATTAGTGAGAATTATCAGAATTATGCTTGGTTAAGTCAACGAGCAACTCTTGTCGCAAAGAATAATGATGTACACGCCCTGAATTTCACCATTCAATCAAATTTGGTGACATACCAATGATTCCGACTGACTTCAAACGATTGCAATTTCCAGTTCGCCTTGCTTAGTGTTTGCGGGATAAATTCCAAATAGATTATTTAGAAAATCATTGTTTTTCACATGGGCAGTTATACGTTGTCTGTTCACGAGTTGAAAAACCATCCGCTTTGTTTGTGTTAACGTCAGACCAAAAAACAAAAAATGTGGTTTACCAAAGAGCACTTCAATGAAACAGATAATTTGCGCATTCACTTTCATTTACTTAGAGAAGTTCAACTAAAAAACACTTCATTTTTGTAATCGAAATAAATTCATTACTGTTGTATAATAAAATCAAATTTTTCCTTTTCAAATATAAAACAAACAAAAAATTTCTTCATCTTCCTCATGAAACTATCTGGTAGCGAAACGGAGTTCGTCGGGTTTGCTAGTTTATTATATAAAAATAACTCGGGTTTTTCTTTCTGACGATATAACTCCAGAACGCACAAACCGATTTCGACGATTTTGCATTCGTTGGAAAGGTCTTAGACTCCGTGAGGTTTATAGGAAAAAAAATTCAAGAAAGATTTCAACAGAAAAGCGAAAAACACTTTTTTTACATACAGCGTCATCTAAGATACTTAGCATGTACTACAAACCAATATTTTTTGTTTGATAGCTACTAATTGTTCTCTGCTTAATTTCATGTGACAAACAGACATTGTGTTCACTGTGAAATTGTACAAAAAAAGTAAAAAAAAAGTTATTCGTTTCTTAACATTTCAATCAAATCAATCACCTGTATTGTGCGAATTTTTATTCAATTTCAACAGCAGGCAATTTTTTTCTTTATCTTTAATCACCAAACAAAATGTTACATAAAATGAAACCATCTGGTGGTGAAACGGAGTTCGCCCGGTTTGCTAGTTGCATATAATTTTTTTAAATTGTTGGTAGTTGATATTTTTCTTGAAATTTTATTACAAGTTTATTAGATAATCAGAAGTAATTTTTTGCCATACTTGCAAGTAAATAACCACTATAATTTCTGGTTTTAAAATCACATAATTTGTGATATTGACAATTTTTCGAAAACGGCATATTTAAGACTAAGGGTTCAATTTTCGGATAAAATATGGTAATGCTATATTACGGGTCTCTCTCGGTATGAGATGTATTAACAAACTGTCAAAAAGCTATGTATTTGCTGTGCGATCAGGCGTTTTACACATAAAATCTAACCTACAAAACGCACTAACTAACAATTTTATCATAACTGCCACTATCTGAAGTCTTATTGATAACACATATGTGAAGATAGGTTTTTCATGGAAAACGTCTGATCGCACAGCAAATACATAGCTTTTTGATTGTTCTTCACTACTAACTCATATGAAAATAGATTCGTAACATAGCTTTACCAATAAATTTCTATTTCATCCAAAAGTTGGCATCTAAATGTACTTTTATATTTATTTTCAATTACATTATATTTTATTTTTATTAAAATATAAACATCGACCTTGACTTCATAATATAGAACTAAGTCAATGAGAAAGGAACGAGAAGATCACGATCATTTAAATTTATTGATCTGTGCTTTTTGATGTGAATCTAACTTCTAGTACAGTTAAGAGTAATATAAATTATTTTGACAGAATAAATTTACCTTTATTGTGCATTGTATAGTATTAGAGATTTCCAGAGATCAGTTGGAAAAAATAAAAAGGCAAAGATCCATGCTTTGCCTCTACTAATTCTATTAGGATGTAAATTTGTACATATCAATATTTTTCAAATTCGTGCATTTTGATATGAAATTCCTATATGTTATTCCACATTATTGTTTCGAGATGACGAAATTTCTTTTTCGTTTATTGACATAATATTTTCTTATTTCAGTCAGACAGGGGTTCCTGCCATAAGTTACATATCATTTATACATATTTCATTCTACATTATATAAGCCTTAAATTTAAATATTTTTTAAATTTCTTTCATCTTCAATTTTTTTACAATATTTTTTACTACTATTAGTTAATTACTACACTACTGCTACTACAATTATTTCGCTCTACTATGCAATCTGACAACAAAGTATATTGCATATCCAAATGCTCGTTAATATGAGTTTATCAAATATTAGTTAGATTTAATAATTTTATTTTTTTTCTTCAACTTATAACTAAGTCACTGTATTTTTATTTTATCCTTGTTAGTCGTGTAACTGTTGTAATAATTTTCAATAATGGTGAATTACGTTCACCTAGTTTTCCGATGGATCGTGAAGAAGACTAATCTATTTCTATAAACGAGATCTACAGAAACATAGACATTGTAATTGGAATATTTTGCGTTCGTTGTGTTGAAGAAAATAATAGACATAGCGCTGATAGATAAATTGTGTGTGGCATTGTGTCTTGAGGCTAATTGCTGGAACTTTCCGTACCGAAAATTTAAATTTTCAAAAAAGTTTCAAAATATGAAAACTTTGAAACGATTAGATTTTTGAGAATTTTTTAATTTTTTTTTTCAATATATTTTGAAATTTTTGGAAAATTTTGAATATTCGAAGTTAAACTTCTTTAGACGCGACTAGGATGTAAATCCGTACAAATGCAACGAAAAAAGCGTTGCTCTCGATGATATCATTTACATAAAATCTGACGTGTAAGAAACGTAAGTTTATTGAAGTAATTTGTATCACTCGTGGTTACTATATATTTTTGAGGTTATTAAAATTTGAAAATTATTTTTATAGGCAAGACAGTTATTACAGCTGCTCATAGAATGAGACTGTATCGCCAGCGAAATAGTAAAAAAAACAAGCAGTCAATGAATGTATGTTAATTTTAATTACATGAAGCTCTTCAAACACAATTACATGAAAAGTGAAATTGTGAAAACAATATTTATTTAGGCGTTGTTTAACATAATAATTTTCTGCATTTTTATAGATATTAAGAAATATTATTATTAGCTTTATTCTATCATGCCGAAGATATATCTTTTTCAGAAATATATATCTGACACTTTTGGAAGTTTAGAGGAACTCTA